GCAACTCGACCTTCCTCATCTTCGGACGACCGCCAAGAGCGAGATATCCAGGCAGCAAAGATCATTAATATCCCTCTGGAGCCACAATAAGCCGTTAGGTAACGGTTGTCATGTTTGAGAGAGAAACTCCCATTGTTACAGCCGCATTGTTGTCAATTTAAGATTTAGCGCTTAACCAGATTGGGTACGCCGAGGCTCGGTATTAATCTCACACTGCTCCAAACGTTTCCACAACAATACCGCCACCATACATGACACCGCGCATTGTACAATGAAGATTGGCATGAAGATTATTGAACACCTCCCTTTGCCGCTACCGCCGAGGTAAACCGTTGAATGTTAATACAAAGTTTACGGAGTCGGAACCATTGTCCTACGATGATCGACCTCCAGCACCGAGTCCGCATGTTGTGTTGAGGATTTTCGTGTTTTCAAATGATGGCGATACAAAATTGAATCAGTACTTAAACTCCCTCTTCGTACGATATCGTTCCATCATCGCACCAGGCCGCTGCATCCTCCAGTCACTCTCTTCAGCCTTTCCTTCGCCATGGTTCGCGCCATGATGTCGTTAGCACTTCTCCTTTTTGCCGGGTTGCAACTGGGAGCAGGTCTTCCCCGTCCTCATACCGATGGCGACCACGATCATCCCGCTACTTCAACTGCGATCTCAGCAGCACCTCAACCATCTGCAACTGGTTTGGCTCCTGAAGGATGCAAGATTATCAGCGGGGATACCGGCTATCCAGGTCTAGCGGCTGTTCAGGCTGCTCTTCCGGATACGCATGCGATTGAGAAATCGGCGGACGAGCCACGACCGGATTATATGTTCACGGCGAAAACATACGAGGATGTCAAGAAGGCAGTGTCCTTTGCGGCTGAACACAATATCCGGCTGACATTGCTCAATTCTGGGCACGATTTCCTGGGACGGTAAGAACCATGAAGAAGCATGATGTTGAAGAGCATTATTAATTATGGCTGTAGGAATGACGCTCCCTCTGGGTTGTCGCTGGATGTTTCACAGCTTGCTGGTGTCCGTGTTCTCTCCTCGTTCACCCCATCGGCACAGGGCGCTGAGGCCCCGCTTTCTGAACCCAACGTTATCACCCCAGGCTCAGGACAAGCTGCCGTCACCTTTGGAGCCGGCGTTTCCACTCAACAGCTAAACGACGCACTCGCCCCGTCCAATCTTTTCACCCTCGGCGCCGCACACGGGAGTGTTAAGACTGCAGGTGGATGGGGTCAGGCTGGTGGACATGCCCCGCTTTCGTCCAAGTATGGCCTTGGTGAGTTTGCCTGTCGGAATGGAAGGAGTCACCCGCTAACTTCTGTGTAAGGCGTCGACCAGGTCCTCGAGTACAAGGTCGTTACTGCTGATGGGAAGCTCCTCGTCGCTAACAAAGTCGTCAACGCCGATCTCTTCTGGGCCCTTCGTGGCGGTGGAGGTAGCACCTTTGGAGTCGTGGTTGAAGCCACTGTTAAAGCCTACACATCTCCGAAGATCACCGTCACAAACTGGTGGATCAATGCCACCAACGCGGCGGAACCAGGTCAAGGCTTTTGGGATGCCGCCGCATATCTTCATAGTCAATTCCCTGCTCTCAACGCGAAGGGAGTTCAAGGGTAGGTCGGGCCGCCCATTTCATTGAGATAAACTAACCAGATATTAGATATTACTACGTCTACCCAGCCGCAATGAAGGGCATCTTTCTCACTGCTGATACCGATGCCGGCGAGGCCAACGCAAAGGCTCTTTGGGAGCCAGTCCTGTCAAAGCTGGGAAGCTATTCTGGCATGCAACCCGCGACCTCAAAGTACTATGACTATGAGAACTTCAAATCATACTTTGATGCTCGCTTCGGCGCCATTGATTGCCCAGACGGTGGTGGCGGTCATGAGCACAGGAAGCTGAGGAAACGTCACGGCGATGGCATGGCTACACCGATGGGAATCATCCCACTCGATTCTCGTCTCCTCGGCCAAGCTCACCTCACCAGTACCAATCTTGCAGCGGCTCTCAAGGATGCCATGCCCCGAGTTCCGGATGGACAGCTTCGTGGCCATCTTGTTGGAGGTGGTAAGGTTCTCACATCGACTGAAGACACATCAGTCCTCCCAGCATGGCGCAAGTCCTACGTCCACCTCATCGGCACGGGGGCGGGAGCTTTCATGGCCGACTCACTTCGTACTCTCGCCCCGGATACTGGCGCATACGTCAACGAAGCCCATTTCAAGAATCCAAACTGGAAGACCGATTTCTGGGGCACCAACTATGAGCGACTCTCCGAAATCAAATCCCAATACGATCCGAATGGTCTTTTCTGGGCTACCCCGGGAATCAACGCCGACCACTACGAAGTCCAGAATGGACGTGTTTGCAAGGTTACTCCCGTTGACTCCAGCATGGCACCAGCAAACGACAACAAGAATCTAGCGAAACGAGGTTCCGCTAATGAAGATGGCCTCTCCGCCTTCCCCGGTACCACAGATGGCGATGAGCACGATGGCACCTGCCCTGCTCCTGGCGAAGGTGAGGAAGGTCCAATTCCTCCCGGAGTTATCATCGAACCTCAACTCGATCCCTCAAAGCCTCCGGTCACGCCTGGCGCAAAACTCGTCAAGCACCGCCTGGGACCCTACACGGTGGACGCGATGGGTATGATTTCGAACCGCCCTGTCCTCAAAGCTCAGCTCCCCTGCAAAAACTGCTTCATCACTGCCATCAACGCTGGACTCGAATACGAAGACGGTACCGTCGCAAACGTCAACAACGGCATGTGGCTCCACCATATGCTGCTCACGCTCCGCGGTACCGGAAAGAAAGACCTTGTCTGCGGCGGTAACCTCGTCGGCTCTCTCATCGGCCAACGAGTCTTTGCATCTGGAAACGAACGCACTGTTATGCGTCTCAATGGCGGCACCAACAAGTACGGGCTCAAAATCAACTCCCTTGATTCCTCGAGCATGATTGTAGACCTCATGAACGAGTCCAACGAGAAGAAGACAGTATATCTTACCATGATCTACGAATACGTCGAAGGCACCGCAGCAACTGGTTACAAGCCCGCTCAGGTCGCATGGCTCGACGTCGGTGGCTGTCTCGGCTCCAATATCCCCGCAAAGGAGGGAGTCTACGATCTCACTGGGCCCGTATGGCGCTCCACTTTGGCTGGGAATCTTGTCTACGCTACTGGCCATGTTCATGACGGCGGAACGGAAACTCGTATCCTTAAGAATGGTGAAGTCGTGTGTACATCTGTGCAGCTCTATGGACGTCGGCCTGGGTTTACGGCTGGTGAAGGAGGCGGTCATGAGCATAGGAAACGTGATGGTGGACATGGTGGAGCTACAATTTCCGATGCGGGGGTGTGTAGGGATTTCGGCACTGTCAAAGTGGGGGATCAGTTACAGGTTGTTGCGCATTATGATACCACCAAGTATCCGCTGGCGGGTGGACATGGTGATGAACCGCATGATATCATGGTAAGACTTGGTTCCCTTCTGGTGATGCCTGGTAAACTAATCATGCTGTGCTTTCCAGGGTATCTCGAGAGTCATTATCGGCGAAGCATAAGTTTACGGTCGGAGGGTTGGTTTTTGGGGGGGATCATGTGAAAACGGTTGTTGGGGCCACGTTCTTTCATCTACCTCATCGGCCTGATATGGGGCATCGAGTCCGCCGGACGGACTATTCTTGGGATGGCAGCTGCAAGTCAGTCTGTGTAGCAAAAGATTGAAGAGTCGACGGTGGGCTGGGTAAGGTCTCCACAGTTTGTTGTAAATACATGGGACTCCATGAACGTTATATCCACATGCGTATCTACAGTACCTACGTGAACTTCTATTTCTCCCGGGTATCTCTCTCCCAGTCCTCCTGCTCCTCCAACATCCACACCCGCTCACCGCACCTACTGCCCCTTCTTTCCCTCTGCCTCCATCTTTACCCTCTCGACCTCGCGATCAAACCTCACAAAGCTCGGCGCACCCTCAAAAAACGCACTCAGAACCCACCCACACCACGGCAACGAAAACGGCTTCACCTCGTGTTTCCGCAAACGGGAATACAGCATCCACGCCGTCTCGATCACATGGATCCCGATAATGAGCCCAAACACTAGCATGGCGTTATCGTAGAGGATTTTAGCGACGGTATCGTTTCCTTGGAGGAGGATCCTGGAGCCAGTAACAGATCAGCTACGTTACCAATCAAACCTCACGATAAATAACCTCCTCTTTCCCCCACACTAGAACCGAACGAACGAAGGGGATAAAAACTCACTCCTTCACCCACCCCCCATCCACCAACTGCGTCTCCCTATTCCACGTCGCCCACTCTCCCAACACCACCCCCACCGCCACGAACGTCCCCACCGGCCCGGGAACCCATCTCTCAACCTTATACGGACTCATCCCGAGCCCCTCCATACTCGTATACACCATTTCCTTCAGCCTCGTCCGGCTCTCCGCGTAGTCCCCCATAGGCGGGGAAATGGGGACTTGGTAGGTCCCACCTTTACAGGAGATTGTGAGAGCGTCGAGCGTCAGGTCAATGAGTTTTGCGTCCGCTGCGAGATGCGAGGGAAGACAGTTGTAGTGCCGGAGATAGAGGGAGAGGTGGTGAGAGTGGTCGCGGTTCATGTGCGCGGTGATGCGCGCTAGGGGAGTTAGTGAGGGAGCGGAGGACGGGGAAGAGGGGGGCGGACCGCGGATGGCGTCGGTGGTGGCCATGGTTGTGGTGGGTGGTGGGTGGTGGAGGTGGAGGTGGAGTTGTGGAAGGAGGCGGCGTGGATGGTGAGGAGGTGAAGCTGGGAGCTCAGCTGCAGATTGAGAGCTTGGTTACGCAAAATGGGACGGGATGCAGGGATAAAACATGAACACGTCTAATCAGCTCTTCCATTCCACCCAAGACATTAATTAATATCATGTTCCAGCTTCTCCGACAAAGCATTCAATCAACTCACCACTCTACCAACGTAACAAAAAAAACTCTCCAAAAATGGTCCCTGCAGGGGTCGAACCTGCGACCTTGGCGTCGCCATATATTGAATCGAGATTGGTAGTAAACCACCCGATATTAGCACCACGCTCTAACCAACTGAGCTAAGGGACCAGACGATCTGAGGAGTATTTGTTTTCCTTATAAAGCACCGCTATTGCACAACACCGTCACAACCGTGTCTTCCCAACAGGTGGATGCGACCATGCCCACCGAAGTCCTCAATAAAATCCTCCAATGAAAGTGGTCCAGCATAATTGCCGGAAGAATGGAGAAGCAACCCAAGGGGCGTTGCAAGCAGCGATTGAATTGGAGGCAGATTTGGTTCTCCTACAAGAACAAGGACACCCGAGAGGCAGTACAGCGAACCACGCCGCATTTACGATATACGAACCGGACAGGAGAGGGGAAAATAGGAGAAGTAGGGTGCTGGTGGCAGCACGTAAAGCAAGCGGGATCAAGGTGGAATACTGAGCAGATATTACAGACTCTCCGGACATCATGGTTTTGGACGTATGGAGAGACTACCCAAGCGGCGATAAAGCGAGGTCCATCAGGGTAGTCAATGTATATGACTCATGGACCAGCAAGAGCGCAAGAGGAGCAACGACAGCAACAGAGAGAATAGAAGAAAGCAGAGGCCGCTGCAGAGGCATCAAAGAAGTTGACTGGAGTAAAGTAATCACAGGCCACACAGTCATTGCCGGAGATTTCAACGCCCACAGCCAAGTATGGAATCCACACTGCACATCAAGAAGAGACGCGCAACAGCTGGAGAACCTGATCTCGACTTATGGTCTGATCTGCGCAAATGATGAGGATACAGCCACATACACCCGACCAGACGTACGGGCCCTATCAATCATCGACCTGACCATACATACAGCGGAGATGGAAGTCATCAGCTGGGCGGTGGACCATGAACGCACCACCTGCTCCGATCACAAGCTCATCGTTTGGGAAACAGCCGAAGGACACTCTCCTAAGGGAGCTGTACAGGCAGGCTGGGCAATAACAGATCTCCTGGAAGATCCAGAGCAGAGATCTAGGGCCGCAGCAATGTGGTCAAGGCTTGCCAAAGACAGTATGGGAGTCTATGAATGGTCGATCCGCACACCGGGCCGGGACGAAATAGACGGTGAAGCTGCGTGGATCGAAAGTACGACAACGACAGTCCTGAATGAATACGCGCGGAAACTCCGCATTACAGCCCGCTCCAAACGGTGGTGGAATCAGGACACCGCCGTGGCCAGGAAAAACCTCGCCCATTCCAAACGACACCTTAGACACCTCCGAAGGGTCGACCCACTCGGCCACGAGGTTGATACAGCTGCCAACGCAGCCAAGGAAGCCCAGAGACATCTACATAAGCAGATTAGAAGGGCCAAAAGATGCACCTGGCAGAAGTTCCTTCAAGAAGCCACCGACAAGCAAGTATGGATGGCAATGAGATTCACCAAGCCTGCAATCCCATCTACCACATCGATCCTACATGACCCGACAGGCAACAAGGCAGTAACGTTGGAGGAGAAGGAGAAGATGCTACGGAAATCAGCTTTTCCCCCCCTGCCGGCGGTCAGCCTTTCCAACCCCTCACCCACCACCAGGCCGGAATGCGGCGGCTCAGCCCATCTATCCATCAATGAAGCTATGGTACGGAAAGCCTTATTTGCCCAGAATGCGGGTAAAGCACCCGGACCCGACCACATCACATTCGCTACACTGAGGCTAGTCTGGGAATGGGATCCGAAAAGAATTACGGCGCTCATCCGAGCGTGCTTCGAAGTGGGCTACCACCCAGTCGCCTGGAAAAGGGCACGAGGAATCGTCCTGCGCAAGCCCGGCAAAGCAGACTACACAGCGGTGAAATCATATAGAGTGATTTCACTTCTCAATTGCCTCGGTAAAGTGGTAGAAAAGATTGCGGCCCAACTCATCTCTGCACACTGCGAAGCCCTAGGCCCCAATGGCCTACACAATCGCCAAATGGGTAGCCGTCCGCGTAGGTCAGCAATAGATGCGGCGGCGGTAGCCATGGATAGGATCCAACAGGCCTGGGCAGCAAAGGAGTCCGCAGCAATGCTACTAATGGACGTAAAAGGTGCCTTCGATCATGTATCCCAAGTCTGCCTAATTTCACGGATGGAGGAGAAGGGGATCGATCCCGGCCTGACCAAGTGGACATCTAGCTTTCTGGAAGGGAGAAGTGTCAGCATGGTCATCGACGGCCACGAACTGGAAAGCCACCCAGTATTGTCTGGCGTCCCTCAAGGATCCCCAGTTTCCCCGATACTCTTCGCTATTTACCTGAGTGGCGTATTCCAGGAGGTCGAGGCCAAATGCAGCGTAATTGGGATTTCGTACGCGGACGACATCGGTTGGTTGGCAACAGATAGAGATGTCGACAAAATGACCCAGCACTTGGAATCGGCCGCAGAGGTGGCAGGAGAGTGGGCGAGAAGAAACGCCGTGGAATTCGATTTGGGTAAAACTGAGGCTATCTTATTCTCGCGCCAAAACAACAAGAAGTTCAAGGATAACATCTTCAAGTACATCCAGATAGGCAGGAACAAGATCCAGTATAATAAAAGGGCAACAATATGGCTAGGCGTCTGGCTAGACAGCCATCTGAAACTCCGGGAACATCACAACATTGGGTTGAAGAAAGCCCGAGCAGTGCTGTACCAAGTACGGAGGCTAGCATCGGCACAGGGACTCTCTCCATCTCATGTTCGAAAGATCCTTATAGCCACGACACAGACAATCGCCCTATACGGTGCAGAACTCTGGGTGAAGAAGGACCAGGCCGATGGGAGGGTCCTTCAAATCCAGAAGCTCATCAACGATCAAGCTTGCACCATTACAGGAATGCTACGAACCACGCCTATAGGACCACTTCTCAGAGAAGCCGGATTACATCCGGCCCCGACCCTGTTACGCTACCGCCAGAGGAAATACGCTCTCCGGGCCCTGAGACTTCCGACCGACCACCCCTTGGCAACGACCATCCCAATGGACTCCTATGGCATAAGAGAAAAGAAGGCTACCAGTCTGGGAAGGACTCTTTGGGACTGCATACACGATCTGACTGATATGACTCTGGGCGCAGAGAGGATATACTCGCAATCAGCTAAACTAGTGCCCCACAGCCCAATACATATCGAAGAACGCAAGATGGCAGAGAGAACCGCCAATACATATGATCTCAGATCCCTGGCCTCTGACACAGGACCAATGAAGGTTCTCTGGACGGACGGATCAAAGAACTGGGAAGGAGATACAGGTGCAGCGGTGGCATGGTGCGACGAAGATGGGTCCTGGAAAACCCAAAGTTGGAATTTGGGAAGGAATCAGGAAGCTATCGACGCCGAACTGTTTGCGATCGCGAAGGCGCTGAAAACCATCTCTACAAGCTCAAGACCACTTGACGAAATACGGATCTTCACGGACTCGAAATTTGCGCTGGAAAGAAGCAAGTCATTGGACCCAGGACCGGGACAAGAAATGGCCAACGAGATCCGGAAAAGCTACGCGGAACTAAGCGATAGAGGAGTGGACGTGCATCTTCACTGGGTACCCGGCCATCAAGACATTATAGGTAATGATACAGCAGACAAAGCAGCAAAAGAAGCTGCCACCCGTAACCCGAATTCTCGGCGGACTCGGAAATCCTCATTAGCCCATATCAGCCGGCTGATCAACGAATCCAGACACCAAGAAGAGAAGCAGTGGTTTGGGGAGAAGTGCCAAAAGTACTATCCCCAGCGATACAAGCTCAGGAAGTCCACCAAAGTGGACCCAATAGCTGCAAAAGCTCGGAAAAAAGTTGCTCTTCAATACTACAGGTTTGCGG